ATACAAATAATGTGATTTTGACGAGAAAAATCTATTCAAAATGCTAAGCACATTTCACCAAATTAACCAACATAAGTTTTATTCTCGTATCTCCATTGGATGTATGATCCTTCAAATTGATCAACATAAATAAGTTTTATCTTAGAACTAAAAAAATTCATACAAATAATGTGATTTTGACAGAAAAATCTATTAAAATGCTAAGTACATTTCACCAAATTTGTTAAAATCTTCATATTTAGGCTAGCATTAAATGAAAATTAAACAAAGAAACATGCATCAAAAGTTAAAGATCAAAAATAAAAGAAAGAAAGTTGCCTTAATGAATCTAAGTGACTTTGACCTATGCTCTGTTTGTAACACAACTAAAATCATTAAAAATGAACTCAAATATATCAACTCCCATTGTCGGCCCATATGCAAGAGATGAACACACAAAGTTTATATTTGTTCCCGTAAAATGATAATAATAGAAAAAGTTGAAGTCCAGTCGATGCCTTTTTGGAAGGCGTTAACTAGCCTTCAACAATTGCTCCCTACCAAAATTCTATCGATTATAATATTTTTTTTGAATCAATATTAATCTTTTCAATGAAATAAGAAAATCTACTTAAAAAAATAATCATTAACATTGCATTGACTAAATGTACTTAAAGATTGTTTATTGGGTCTTTTGTTAAAATATATATAAAAAAAAACTTTTATATAGGTAAATTTGATTTCGAAAACATAAGTATAGTGCTAATAGACGACTACAAAAGTGAAAATGTTTTTTTTAAAAAAAGAGCTAACTTAATAAATCCAGTGATTTTGACCTACACCATTTATGTAAGACAACTAAAAACATTAAACATGTTATGTGCTCCATCTTTGATCACCTTTTTTGATTTTGGTTCACATGTCATTATTTATTTATTCATCATGTCCTTTATGTGAGAATAAACTCAAATATATTGAATCCTTTTTGTTTCTATAAAAATATAAAGTAAAAGTTGAAGGTCACTCAATGCCTTTCTAGAAGGTGGCGATTGACCTTCGACAATCCCTCTTCTATCCAAATTCAATCAATTACAATAATTATTCAAATCATTACTAATATTTTCAATGCAGTAAGAAAATCACCATTAAGAATGAGTGGATTAAATATAAAAAATATTTCATCTATTAAAATAAAAAAAATATTCTATATTTGTAAACTTGGCCTCGAAGACATGACCATAGTGGATTATAGACAGCCACAAAGCTGAAGATAAAAAAACATTCCTTAATGAATTTGGTGACTTTGACCTGCACCACTTCCGTAACACAACTGAAAACATTAAACATATTATGTGCTCCACCTTTGATCACCTTGTTCGATTTTGGTTCACATGCCACTCATTCTCTATTTACCAAGTTCTTTGCATGAAAATGACCTCAAATGCTTCAAGTCTCATTGTCAGCCCATATGCAAGGAATAAACAAACACAAAGTTTATATTCATTGTCATATAATACTAAAAATAATAATAAATTGAAGGCCAATTGATGCCTTCGGCCAGTCGACGTCTTCCTCGAATGTGTCGACTGGCCTTTAACAATTTGCTTCTCTGGCCAAATTTAATTAATTGTAATAATTATTCATATCATCTTTAATATTTTTACTGTAATAAGAAAATCTACTTAGTAAAAATCATCATTAAAATTGTGTCGAAGGAGTATAATTAATGATTATTTATTAAGCCATCTATTAAAATGAAAAAATAATAAATAAATAAATAAATATATATATATATATATATATATATATATATATATATATATATATATATATATATATATATATATATATGCAAATTTTATCTTGAAGATATAAGCATAGGAGTTGAAAGATGACTATAAAGCCAAAGAGGAAAATAAAAAATAAAAAATTGTTTTAATGAATCTGGTGACTTTGACTTACAGTACTTCTTTAATACAACTAACATCATTAAACATGTTATGTCCTCCTCCTTTGATCATCTTGTTTGATTATGATTCATCTGTCACTCTTTCTTTGTTCATCATGTTGTTTGTGTGAGATGTTTCAATTTCCATTGTTAGCCCATATCCAAGAGATAAACAAACACAACGTTTATATTTGTTCCCACAAAATAATGATGATAATAATAAAAAGTTGAAGATCAATCGGCACCTCGCCTTAAAAAATAGCTCATCTATCCAACTTTAATCGATTATATATAATAATTATTCTAATCATCATTAATATTTTCAACGTTATAAGAAAATCTACTTAAATAAAATCATCATTAACATTGTGTTGCCTGAGTATATTTAATGTTTATTTATTGACCATGTGTTAAAATATAATATAAAAAAATTATTGAACAATAAATTGGTCAATCGCCACTTTGTTTTTCCTCCTCATCCGATTCCAAAGATGATGCTCAAAGTACTCTTGTTCTTCAAAACTTCATGTTTCTTGTAAATTTCTCTATAGGAATGCCCCTCTTTCCCAACTCGATATCATGGCTACTAACAGTTACAGGGTGTGAGCAAAAAGGTCTCGTTATTTGTAAAACCCAGCAGCTATATCACATGGGTTCAATGTGCATACTGTAAATTGTGTATTGAACAAAAAGGTCTAAGATTTGATCCTTAGAAGTCCTCGACATATTACAACTTATGATACTCGTTAGCTTACAAATGTCCATATTATCGGAATTATTCATCTATCATTGAATGCAATTCTAGTTTTGTATAGTAAGGAAAATTGCCAAGAAACAGCTACAACTTGAGACACCTGATAAAGACATAATAGTGATTTGCGATATGATTTTAAAATAAGGAGAGAGTAATTTCAAAATCGGATGGGATATTTGGACTAGGCAAACTTTAGAAAGATTTATAGTTTATAAACTAGCTAATATATTTTGGTATTACATTGGCAATGTCAACGATCCTTCTTACCATTTCAATATTTGAAGGTTATTTGACACCTTTCAAAACAGATAAAGACTTTTACCATGTAACACTAGAAGGCATTTTGGGACATGAAGACTCAACCGAAGTTCTAAGGCTTTTCAGAACAATGTTGAATGGTGGTGGGAATCTTAAACTCAGGTTCAACACTCAACTACCTACCTAAAGTACCATGTAACCCTATTAGTAAAGAAGTTTCTAGTCAATTGTATGAAACCCATAACATATCCAGATCTATTATGCTATGATGGGATTGCTAGATGGAGCCAATCTGGTGTTAGATTTCAGAAGCCTATTTGCTCAAGCTGGGAATGTGTTTTGCAAGACTATAAAAGCAGTCGTTGGACGTTCTATCATTGGAATTTAGGCTTAATAGTAATATCATGTGGCCTTCAGCCTCAATAAAGAGAAGATATATTTCCAAATGGTTGATTGCTAGCTTTTTCTTGATTGAATCTTTCAACTACAATTTCAACAAATCATGTTCATATAAATATATGTTTCTTCTTTTAGCTGTTTCATTTACTTTTGTTTTATTTGTTAAATAAAAATTTTGGATTCTATGCTTATAACTTTTAATTTTGGAAAATAGTTTAAGAAATTAAAATATGTTTGATGCCATGTTTAATCATCTTGTTCCAATTTGTTTCACCTGCCATTGAAATATATGAATTTTCTTATAAATATATGTCCTGTAAATATATCCAAGATTTCGAATATGTAGTGGTGGATAGATTTAAAGTTAATCCATTAGTTGGCTTTTATCATTTAAAATAAAAAATGGCTTTTATATTAGAATGTTTTACTTAAGGGTAAAACTTTAATTCTCACTGCTTTTTTCTAAGTCAACTAAAATTGAATTTATATGGAAAGAAGGACTTATCAAGTTTTTTTTAACAAGGTAAAAATATCATCATATTCGTTTGATAAATCTCTAGCCAGATGATTTTAAGGAAGCAACCCCTATATCAGCCTAATACATTTAAAAAAAATTAATAAATTATTTTCAATAATTTTTTATGAATTTTTTTACTAAGTGACATGGCATTTATTATTTAAAAATATTTTCAAATTATAGAATGTGAATCATATCTCATTTAATTATTCAATAATAATCATACAATATATTAACTAATGAGTCATCATGGTCACATTATTTAATAATAAAATAATATTATATATTGTCACATCATTTGGTAAAACAATATGACTACAGTTAGATAAAACAATAACAACGAAAAACAAAAAGTATTTATAGCACTAGCTAACGCGAGCGATGGAGAGTAAATAATAAATTAATCCCTCTAGAAGGATTAGATATTTACAATCAAATTGAAAACAGATAAAAAAAAAAAAAGGGGCAAACATCCTTAGTCACGAGATCAATCTGTTGAAAATTTTGATTAGATATTTACTTTGTATCAAATTGTAATTTTCTTTGTTTTAATACACAAAGTCAATACTTTTCTGTTTTAACCAAAGCATCAAATAATTTCCATTTACCACCAAATCGTTAAGTCCTGATTTCTTAACAATATTAGGAAATCGGGGTTTTATGATCTGGTGGTTCGTTTTTTAAATTATTCAAATCCACTTTAAATTCAAATATTAATAGTTCAGCGTACTGCAACTAAATGATTTATTTCCTCCACTTCCAACCTTGTTACCAAAAGTGGCCAGCAATGACTTGTCGGTGAGAACAAGAGCACAGCATTTCGTGTACGTCCTGCAACTAAATGATTTAGGCTCCAAAAATAATTTCACAATTAAATGCGTTTGTTTCCTTCTGCACCTTTACAGTCCAAACGATGGACCACGGAAACAGCAATTTGATTTGAAAAGCCTATCACTGTTTTCTACTTTTTTCTCGTTTTCATATCCATCGAGCTTAGCATCTGTCTGCACAAAATTTACAGAAATATAGGGCTGGTCACAGCATCTATTGCCAATGATAACTTCTTGCCAATGACAGCATTTATTGTTTACAAATCTATGCTCTACATTTCAGATTACACTTTTCCAAGTTCAGCAATTTAAAGCCTATTCTTCCTTTAAGATTGAAAATATAAGAAAGATACACAAAGGAACAACCACAAAGGCTCCAACTTTAAGCAAGTCTTCACTCTCCTTTGAGATCACTCCAATCCTTGACCAATCTCCACTATACCTGAATATTGAATTTCACTACATCAGAGAGAGAGAGAGAGAGAGAGATATGGCTTCCTTAACTAATCAAACTTGTATAAATTAAGAAAGTAGAAAAAAAAACAAAGTACATAAAGCATAGAGAAGAAAGAAAATTTACCCAGCATCGATGAATCCAAGTCCAGAAACAGCAACGACAGACAGAGAAATAATTTTCTTTGGAACCCTCAAAGGAAAAATAGGCTGTTCCTGGGATCTTGAATTCTCAGACAAATCCTTCCTTTTAGCCAATGTGGTGGTAACACATTTTCTGCCATTTTTCTTCAGATACACATGGTGAGAAGCTGGTCTGAGGTTGATGGAGAAAAGACAGTTCTCTATGGCCACCATTTCCCTCGGCTATCACATTTCACAGAGACGTGCTTCTCATCTATTGATTTGACTATCTTATCCTAATATATATATCTGAACGATACTAGCCACAAACAAAGCTGACAAGGTAGCAATCTCTTCAACGTCATAGAACAAAAGGGCATTGCTCAAGAAACAAGTGATGCAGGACAGAAGCACTACAGACAAGTAAATACTACAGAATTGCGCTCGAAAACTAAATACTAACATACATACCGCTAATCTACTTATACCATGAAAGCATATTATTACATAATAATCTTGCATAATAGTATTACAGAATCTATTTATTGAAAATATTAATTATTGAATTTATAAGCTCTACTAATAAATCGACTTATTCAATGTATGAAATAGCCACATTCATCCAATGTTTGAATACGGGAAACTTTTGTTGCCCATTTATGTGCTGGAATTAAACTATCATTGTCTAATCTCTAATGATGGGTTTCTGTGATGTGAGGAAGATCAAGCTTGGGCATCGATTCAAATTGGCCATGGCTGAGAAGCATTTTTGTTATGAAGCCCATTCAGACTCTGAACTCAGGCCTGGACAAGCCAACCCAAGCTGTTTTTGCTCTTAAATCTTAATACGAGAGATAATTCCTGAAGTTCATACCCTTTGCGTATCCTTTGGTTATAAAAAAATGAAAGTCTAGCATAGAAATATATGAATCATAAATAAAATTAATAAATCGAAATGAAATTTGTATTTTTATATTGTGTTTGAAATACTAATAAGGAATCAGAATATAATTTAAATTTTTTAATATATAATTTTTTATACAAATAAATATAATGATTAAAAAAATAATTTTATTAAAATATAATATTTGTAAAAATAATAAAAGTGATGGTTATTGTGATGATGGTTATGACAATGGTAGTTCTAACAGCGGTGGTAGTAATAGTTATGGTGATGATAATAATAGTGATTACGGTGATGGTTATAAAAGTAGTTAATGTATAATAAATAAATAAAATATATTATTATTTTGAAAAAAAATCATTTTCATTTTTTATTCCCATATTTTATGTTGAAATGGATTTATATGTAAATTTTTATTCTCATTTCCACTCTTCATCTCTATTCTTATTTCATTTTTTTTAACTAAACAATTACAATATGAAAATAAAAACTTTCTTTTTTATTCCCATCACTATATTTTTTATTATCAAACAACACTTTAGCCTCTCTTCTGCCAAAGATTACAGAGGAGTTAATTATAACTTAGTCCCTATAGCTTAATAAAACTAAACAATGAGTCCTCATGATTTTAGAAACTATATTTTTAATTCCTACAATTTAAATCCATTTATATTTCATCTTTTGTCAATTTCATATCTTTTTGATTTACTATCAAAAAAAGAAAAAATAAAAAAAGAGAAGCATAAAAGTTGGGGAATCTTGATTAAAAAAGAAAAAGAAAAAGAAAAAAAGTATTGTTGGAAGAAAAAAAATCGTATTTTCAATACAACAAGAACTAAATCAATTGTTTTTGAGAAACTACAAGATTAAAATATGGAGTAATTAATTAAATTTTTTTTTTAAAAAATTAAGTTAGAGAGATTATTATAACCTGAGAAGTAGATTCTCTTAAAAAAAAAAAAAAAAAAAAAAAAAAAAAACCCTCACAAAGGCTTGACTCGCTTCACTCTGCTCTGTATTTTTTTGAACTGAAACAGAAAAACCCCACCAAAACCCTAACAATGGCAATAACAAACCTTTCAGAACCCCCCAAAATCCACAGAATCCCACAACTCAAATTCATTGACGCAATCCGCTGGCTTCCTTCTCCTTCGCCATTTCAAAAGTCATTCATTACCTCCTTCTTCGATTCCGATTTCCAGACTCCTTCCCTCGAAATCCACTCTCTAGACCCTTCAAAAACCCTAACCACCCCACTCTTCTCCTGGACCCCACCCTCCCGTATTTCCTCTCTCAAATCTATCCCTTCCCTCTTCGCTGCCTCCACTTTCTTGGGTTCTCTCCACATTTTCAAAACCCCAGAGGAAATGTCGGTTTTGGAGAATGATATGTCGGTTTCGAAAAGGGAAGTTTCGGTTATGGAACCTGTAGTGTCGGTTGTTGGTAGGGAGTTTCATGTGGGGTCAATTGGGGGTTTGGATTTGATTGAAGGAGGGAGTGAGTGTCTTAGTGTTGGAGAAGATGGGAGGGTTAATTTGGTTGATGGGAAGGGAAGTTTTAGGAGAGTTTTTGATGGGAATGGATTGATTTCGTATTCGGCGGTTAAATGGGCTTCACCGGCTGAGTTTGTGACTGGTGGATGTGGGTTTGGACTTCAGTGGTGGGACCTTAGACGGCCTGGTGCTGCCGTTGCTCAGTTTAAGGGCAGCTGGTGAGTGCATTGCGACATTTTTTTTTATTGCACTTCTGTGATGCAAATTGAATTTAGTTTTTCGTGGACATAAAACTGATGATGTTCATGGTGTTTGCTGTTGTTGTTTGTGTCAAATGAAATGGTGGCCGATTGCTTGGATAATTACGATCTGAATGTTATTGTAAGCTGTGAAATAGGGGAATGTATTTGTGATTATTTCTTGTGCTAAACTTTCATCAGATCTGTAGGCTAACAATGCTAAATTTGGGAGAAATTATTTAGGATTAGGATTTTAAAGGTATGAAGAATATGCCTTGTTATCATTATGCTTATAATTGGTGTTTTATTGGACCTATAATGTTTGATGAGGATGACTGCCTTTTGCTTGAATTGAAAGTTTTTTTTTTTAAAAAAAAAAGGTCAAAGAGAAGTTAATGGTAGTTGGGTAGCTCACTGATCAATGAAAATTTGAGTTGAAATGCTACTAAGTCTATTAAGAGCTGGCAATTTGCTGAGCGAACACAATAGACATTATGGTTGGTATGTTGCTTTGGTTCTAGGATGTGCCATACCCAGATTATGTGGAATGGTGATTGTTAGTTGTGGATACTTAACACCATACGTTTTTGACTCAGGCAATAGGAGTTAGCTAGGTTAGTGTGTTCCAAATTGTTGCACGAGGGCTATAACTAAGTGAAAAGGTGGTCTTAATAATCCACTATTCTCTTTTAGTAGGCTACTTCTATTTCACTGCTCCAGCCACTACAAATGCACTGGACATTTGTATACATGTGATACTGCAGGCATTGTGAAAATAAGATTGAAAACAAACTTGTGAGGGGACTGCATGCGATGATTAGCTTTCAACATGACCAGGATTAAATAACCTTTGGTTTATCAATGCAGTTTGGTAGTATGTGAAACTTCTAGAATGGATTCGTGCATATTTATGTTAAGTGCTATTTATTTGTTTAAAGGATCTGTTGTAATTCAGAAGGGATTTTTCAGTTGCCTGCAAATGGTTGGCCTAAATAACCTTTGGTTTATCAATGCAGTTTGGTAGTATGTGAAACTTCTAGAATGGATTCGTGCATATTTATGTTAAGTGCTATTTATTTGTTTAAAGGATCTGTTGTAATTCAGAAGGGATTTTTTAGTTGCCTGCAAATGGTTGGCCTAAATGTCGGCATAAGTTTATTTCTGTGTATTAGTAGCACATCTACATTCAAATGGTTGGCTGACCCTGTTCTTTTTAGTTACAATTAAGCAACACAGCAAATTTCCCATATCATTATGGCTGGCAAGAAGTGTACTGATTTTGCTGTCAATCTTATGCTATAGGGATCATGGCACAACTTCTGGGATCATTCACTCCATTGATATTCATCCATCCCGTAAGCACACATGTCTGGTAAGATAGCTGCTCAGCTTTTATCATCAACACTTTCATTTTGCATGAGGAACCACGTCCATCTTCCTTGTTAATTGACATGGATGTAGCTTGTTAGCTGAATTTATTTTCTTCCTTATTTGGCTTTTGAATGGTTGAATCTTAGAATTTGGATACTGGGTGTTTTTTCTGTGTTGATATTGCTATTCAGTCTTGGATTGGCATGCCCTTTCATCTTAGTGGCAGATTTTACATGAACCATTACCTAGATTTTATTATCAGATTGTATGAAAATCCAATCAGGCCCTGTAACCAACTGAAGGAATTCTTTATGTTTTTACATGAGAGCAAACAAAGTATTGGCTCATGTTGTTTGTTTAGCCAATCATAACAAGTCAATATTTACTTGCTTTAAAACCACCATTTGTGTAATTTTCCTTGTTATGCGAGGACATCACTTGTGGCTGAGGTGTAGCCTGCTTGGTAGCCATAATGCTCCTCTAAATAGATTTTGCATATTTGACATCCTCTTCTCAAACTATACAATTATCAATTAAGACGAAATAAAATTATTATTATTATTATTTATTTATTATTTTTATTATTTTTTTGGGTGGGGGGGGGGGATTTAAGTAGTAAGCGTGCCAGTTAAAATATCTAATATGCTGTTTTGAAATGCCTTTTAGTTTTAAGGATCATTCTTGTGGTTGTATGAAAACTGAATTGCCTTTCCTGCCATAGGCAGGAGGTTCAGCAGGTACTGTATTTGCCTGGGATTTAAGAAGGCAACAAGAACCGATTATTCTTTCTTCAATTGGTTCTAGTGACACTATGACCCATCCATTATCTGAAAGCGAGGTTTGGGAAGTTCAATATGACTACTACACCAAGTCTTCGAACAGTAACATTTCATCAACGCAGATCTTACCTGCTATGATCTGCTCTGAAGATGGGATCCTTGCTGTCATTGAACAAGGTATGGAGTTCTCACTGTAACTTCTGTTTGTCAAGGGCTCTGTTATTAGCCTATCATTGTCACTACTGGAAGACATTTGTTCAGCCTTAACTATTATGCACAAAACCCGCTTCTTTTGCCGATTGATTAAATGGGTGTTAACATTATTGGCAAAACAAGAAGATACTTTGAAAATCAAACTGGCACTGATTTCATTTGTGCATGTTATGTTGTGTAGGTGAGGAACCCGCTGAGCTCTTGGCAGAACCCTGTGCAATCAACAGCTTTGACATTGATCGCCAAAACCCCTCGGTATGTAGGATCTGTGTCTGGGTGGTCTAATTACTTAAAAATTTAGTATTATGTTTTTTATTCATGTTCTGCTGTGCAGGATGTAGTATGTAGTTTAGAGTGGGAATCCATTGTCATTTTGTCAAGGCCTTAAAAACGGACATGGAGAATTTATGCTCAAGTTGAAATCTTGTCATCTAAACTTCTTCGATGAACTTTGTGCATCAACCTGGAATTAATGGAGAGGTGCCTGTGGTGGGATGAACGGAGCAAGTGTTTTTGCTAGTTGTGAAAGATGTCTACTCACGAGTTCATGAACAAACTAATATAATGATGTTGTGTACAATTGTAGCACAATAGCATTCAAGAAAGCACTTGGTGGAGCAATGTTTTATCACCAACGCTCCATCAGTGTTAATGGAATTGATGCATAAGGTAGAAGTGTGTAAGAAGAGGAAGTGGTTGGCCAGGGACAACACCAACCTGGAATTCGAGTAACTGTACTTTTGGTTGCTAACCATTGTCCTGATCTGTCAAACAGTACAATGATATCGTAACCAGTACCCTCAAATCCAACAGCAATGAAGAGTTTATTTTATGAATTACAATTTTTTTTCTGCTGTAGAGTACAATTATTCAGTTGGTGAACTTCGGGAATCTCTACTGGCTGGATTCAATGGAAAATGTTGGTTTACTCTGCTTGCCTTAGCCTATCATCCCACCTTCCCACTCCTATTGTTCAATCATGTTTCTTGACATGGCTTGAACTTCAACAGATTAATGGGATCAATGTAAATCTCTCAATTTAATGGTGTGGTTTTTTGTTTATTTTATTTGTGTGCTCCCACCATTTCGAAAAGTATTTGCTAATCATACTAAAATTTTACTTTTTAATTCATTAAAAAGATTTTTTTTTCCCTTTCAAGTATATCATGGTCACCGTTAATCCCTCCCATTTTACTCTTGGTCTTTTTGGAGAAAATAAGGAGGAAAAAAAAATGTGAAAAAGGATATGCAAATGCAAGCCCATCAAAGTCCATGTTGAGGCACTGTCCTCAGCAGTAAATAGAACAAAAGATTGAGGACTCCAATTCACTCCTACTGTTATCCACACAATATCACTCCACGTCACGCTTTCCTCCTTTTTTTGTTTCCCATCCTTTCAAAACTTGAGCAGAAACAAAGAAACAACGACAACAATGGCTTCTTTAACGATGTTGTCTTTCAATTTCAGGTTTTGCCCATTACACTCTCTGCCAACCCGAGTCTCTTATGGTTCTGCTCAACTCATACCCCTCAACAAGGTGAGCAACTCGTTGAGACTCAGTTCGAGTCATAACATTTCTGGGTCTCACTCACTTTCTCCTCTAAAGCCATGTACTATCACTTCTCTCACTCAAAGATTCCAGTCTCTCACTGTTTTCGCGGCTAAAGGTTATAAAATGAAAACCCACAAGGTCAGTCCCTCTGCTCCGTCTGTGGAATGGAATTTGGTCGTTTAAATTCTGTGTTGTTCAAAATTTGTTGCTTTTAAGTTAAATTTGCGAGCTTTATGGCCCAAAAGAATAAAAGTTATTATATTGTACAATTTTTTTGGAACACTTTTAAGTAAATCAACAATTAGCTAAATTGATTTTCTTATTTGAAATTTTGAATTTTGTGTGGTTTTGTTGTCATAGGCATCAGCAAAGAGATTCAGGGTGACAGGTAAAGGGAAAATAGTAAGGAGGAGAGCGGGGAAGCAGCATTTACTGGCAAAGAAGAATACTAAGAGGAAATTAAGACTCTCCAAAATGGTTTGTTCTCTTTAAACATTCTGTTTGATGCTTTAGCTAGCTAGTAGTGTAAATAATGAAAAGTCTAATTGATCTAGTTCGGTTTAGCTTCTTCTTTTTCTTCGTAGTTGCAACGTATTGTTTTTTCTTTCTTTTTTTTTTTTTCCTTAGTTACAATGTAGTGTTTATTTCTTAGCTTGTGTTGTGTGAGAGTTCTCATTTTCTTATTTTGGATTGTTTTAGCCTATAGGTTATTGTCATGGGCTACATATAGGATCCTGAAAATATTAACTCTCTGTCTCTCCTCGGAGCAGTGCTAATTTTGCTTTTACCTTTATTCCATAATTTGTCTTGTTTTTCTTAAGTGATGAAAATTATGGATATGCTGCTCAATTTTATGTCAAAAAATCATTCAGATATCAAAGATGACTTATTGTTACAAAAATAACTTATCAAGTTAAAAGAGAGAATTGTGTTTGGATATCTGGATACGTCAATTTATTTGAAAAAAATTATTTGTCATGTCAAAGTTATCATTATGAAGATGACCATTAAATGATATGTTTATATCAGAAGTTATTGTGATGTCAAATTCGTTACAACCTCGGATCACTTGTATGTCAAGAACGAAACTTGGAGGGAAGGCAGGGGGCCTTGTAAAAGAAGAAAGAACAAGCTGCCAAAAGAAATTTGAATTATCTCATTTCAGAATGTTATTAGGGATTTTTCTTTTCAAAATTTTTGGAGAGTAAACTATTGCAGGTTCTTAGTTATTGTAAACTTGATTTGTGGGAGACTGAACATGGGAGCTAAAGATTCATTGCATATACAATAATATCACGAGAAAATGAATATGGATTTATTCAGTTCTTTAGATTACTGTATTGTACTGGGGAAGGGACTGTGATTTGACTAGAATGTTACGTTTGAGGGTAATTTGAGGAAGTCATTTCTTTTTTACTTGCTTTTTGTGAGATAATGAGTTTTGGTGTTGTGTTGTGAACATTAGGGCTTGGCTCGTCATTCCTAGAAGTCTAGATCTTAAAGAAATTGTAGAAAATGCATTACCTTGATTCTTTTGATCTTCTGAATTATCTCTCCCTTGGCCTCCTTCAATTTTTTTGTGAGGGGCATAAAGCTTATAACAAATTAGTGGATTCAAAAGGCATTATTTGCAGTGCAGCTTGAAGGTTTGGGTTCCAAGTAAGGAGGATTTAATCTCCACATAAAAATTGTCATCTTGGTCAAGCTGCCTGATAGGATATTATATCATGAAGAATAATTCTGCTGTTTAACCATAATCTACTTTTCACTTCTAGTCTCTTGTTACCCTTTGGCATGGAATTTCATTGGTGTTCTCTACATTTTCTTTTGAATAGAAAGCATCAATAATTTTAGTCATTGATATGCTGGGTGACCCCTTTGTACTGGGTATATTTAGTATTTGGTCTTGAAGATATTCTCCTTTTGTATCTGGTTTCTATAAGAGGCTTTTTTTTATGGTTTTCAAGGAAGAAGTTTCATGTAGATATATTCTAGAGTATTGAAATGGGTAGTGAATTAAAGAGGATCAAGGAGGATGTGTGATAATGAGGAGCTGTATCACTGCCATAGGAAAATATTCAATAACCTCAGATATAAAAGGAGTTTTGCAAGCAGCGCGCCTATTCACCATGTTTTTTAGCTGTCCCTATGTGGGCTACGGGAAGTTTGTTCCTTGTTAAAATCCTTCTTTGCCTGCCCTTGGGAATTATAGAGCAGGTCCTATAGTTATTAATTCAATCAAATGGCTTTATAAATCCTAATTTTCATCTTATTAGTTCTAAGTGACCCATCTATGCCTTCCCTTCTCTCTCCTATTAATGCTATCTTAGTGCTGTTGAATTCTGCACTTTTATTCTGCTAATCATCTTCGAGAGGAACCTTCAAAATGGTATTCGAGGAGTTATCTTAGTTGAAATGAGATCCGTTGTTTGTGCCTCAGCATGAACATTGATTCAACTTCATAGTTTCTACAATATGTTGGCTTATACAAACAACTGATCTCGATATCATGGTTGAAATGAGTCAAGGTTTCTCTTATGTAGTTGTTTCTGGATTGCCGTTTGTGCTTCAATATGAAATTTTTTTTCACTCACATTGGTTTATTTATGTGCAGCACGCCGTTAGTAGGAGTGACTATGACAATGTGATTGGTGCCTTGCCGTATCTAAAAGTAAATAGAAATGCAACATAAGTCTTGAACTTCATGTTCTATGGGAAATGCATCAGCAGTTTGGTTTTGGTTTCCTTCGTACATTTATGCAGAAGACAAGCACTACTGATTCCCTAGTTCTCCCTATCCAGTTAATGGTAGTTGATTTTTCCCTACCTTGAAATTTCTGTATTAGTCCTTCATGTTGGTATATTTTAAGACTACTTGCGAAGTCCACCACTCGCAAGTCCTTGTAATTGAAATTAGCTCAACATGCTTTTATCTTTAAACAGAATTCTGTATCAACTGAGAAGATTACACTGTTGTTACTTAGGAGAAAGTGGCTTCAGACGTGGTAAATGGCATTTTGACTTTGCCTGGACTGGTTCACAGATGCAGGTTGAGCATCCATAGCTTTCTGCCCATTTTGAGAGATGTCAATAGAACCTTGGAAGCTAACATATTGGTTTCCTTTTTCTCACCAAGCTTAGGCGGCATGCCCCTGTCTCTGACACCTATAAAAGCTTCGACAGAAAAGTCGAATTCGTGCATCTTTAGCCTCGGAATCATGGAAACAGCACACTTAAATGAAAAACTTAAATAGTGATCTGAGTATATATAAAATTCTCTAGAAAAATGAATACTTCTTATAAATATTACATGCTACAAGGGATGACTATTTCTTGACATAGACTGCCTCAAAATTTATTATTTATTCATGCAAGAAGATAAAGGAAAAAGTTGGAGATATAGACAAATAACGTGAGTTCGATGTTTAATATGTAGTGCATTGTCCTCATGTCTAGAAATGGAAAATGAAAAGGAAAAGCACGAAGACGTCAAGGATTCATCTATTGTTTATTTGTTTCCTACATAATTGCTAGATGCACCGAGTTTGTGTTTCTGTCGAATTTGCTACTCTGCTATGTTGTTGGTATTAAGCCAGCAGTGGATTGCGATGCTTTTTTTTTTTTTCAGCAATAAGTATGTTTTCGTGTCAATTTTTGTTTATCTCAAGATTGACTAGTCATTTTCTGAGTGTGGTTAAGGTATATTCTCTAATGTATGGTTTCGAGTAGTCCTTTTCTGAGTGTGGCTAAGGATTATTTTCTAATTTGTGATTTTCGAGTATTCGGACAATAAATTCTCAGAATGCTGGCCATAAAAATTGAACATTGGATTTGATTTACAAGTCAGCATTTATTTATTAGTGAAATATAATATTGTGGTTTAAATCTTGTTATTGTTTTTTTATTTGGAAAGAAAATCAGTTTTGAGCCCCAACTTTTTTTCGACTTCCAAGTCTTGTGTTATGGAGAGTATTATTATTTGGATGGAAAAGAAGAATTCTCTATAAAAATGGATCAAAATTAGAATTGCCAAGTTGAAACTATTGGGATATTTTTCCAAAATTAAAATCTTGACATTTTTTTTTTGTGTGCAATAAAAAAAAATCCTTATTATTATTGTAAGAGATTGAAAAGACAAAACAGTGTTTATCCACTATACCAACGCCAAATGTTTGTGTGGTTAATTGTGGAATTAAATTTCCTGTATAAATTTACATGTTGGAGTCATGATGGAACTGAACTATGACACACACACACACAAATAAATAAATAAATAAATAAAATTCCTTTTCTTATACCACGTTAAAGGGCTGCCGGATTCTGTCAATATTGTGGATGGAATTTCGATACAAGCAAGCAATTTTTTTAATTCTTATGCCCTGACTTCTTGGATCCAGACAATTATATTTGATCAATTTTATTGCAATATAACACCAAGTGCAATATGCTTGTTTGCTTTGCCTTTTAATCCCCTGGAAAAAAGGTCTTAACTTAACTTAATTATAATCTAGATTTTTCCCTTATCAATATAATTTAGAATTAATCTCATTTTTTATTCTTGTATTTGGATTTTTTCTTAATGTGATTCTTTTATCCTTTTTTTTTTTTTAATAAATTTGATTCTTTTACTCTATTTGATTTTGGTTAATTTTTCAACAAAACAAGTGACTGGTAAACTGAAACTTTAAATAATCATAGCATGTGTTAAAAAAATATTTTATAAAAATAAATAAAATGAAACTAAAAAAATTAGGAAAATTTTTATTTTTTGAAATTTAATTTTTTTGACACATGGCATTTGTTATCAAAAAATTAACTAGAATTTTATCGAAACAGTCATATTAAAAAAATATTTAGAGTAGCAAGATCAAATAATTATATATAAAAAGAAAGAATAGATGGGCTATATTAAGAAAATTTAAGAATATAGGGATGAAATATATGATTAATCCATATTTTTAGGGTAAATGACATTTTTCTCCAATCACACCGGATTTTCACCTGGGCTCCAGTCAAAAAAAAAAAAAAAAAAAAAAAATCCAATGGAATTTCATCTATCTCATGCTATCCAAAACAACCCGGTCATTGAAATCAATGATTATAATGGAATCACTTTAACACTATCTTGTGAAGAGAGATAGAGGAAGTAATGGATAAAAGGAAAAGAATTGAAAAAAAAAAAAGAAAAAGGATTGGATGTATCTTTCAGTTCTTAATAAGGATAAGGGTTTGAGAGATTCACTTATAATTTGTAATCTTTCTATTTTGAATAGATTGACTCCTAACCTTACCCAACCCATCCATCCTCCTTCCCGATAATTAAGCCCTCGTCTTTGATTGTTTCGAAGTAAAAAAACTATCAGGTGTGGAATAATTGGCTAACGAACGAGGGACCCAATCGGGAAACTTTTTTGTTTGGGGATCCAATAATTTAGCAACATTTTGGGGACAAATACGTTCCCCGTCCTAAAATTTGACATGGTCAGGATTTAATCCTGATAACAGTCAAACTCAACCCATCCTTCCCTCTTCAAGAATCATCAAATTGGAGAATTCTATACCTAGAAAGTCCTGCTGAGCCTAGGAATCCATCCATGGCTCCGGTCAACAACCCATCGGCAAGAGAGAATATTTAAGTCGTTATCGGCGGGCAACAAGTAGAACATCGTGAGCCAGTATTATATATAATTGGACGCATGTTCATCCCATTTCCACCCATGCAAGCAATTGTCATTTTCTCTGTTTTTCTCGACGGTCCGCTTTTACATTCTCAAAAAGAGAATATTTAAACGTTATCCATACAGAAAATAAATAAATAAAGCCTCCAAAAGGGATCACAAAAGCACTAATTTCGGCAAGACTCCTCTAAGGACGTTTTCTTCAACTATTTTGTGAGTCTGTTCCTTTCTTTGTTCTACTCCGCAGGTTTTTTTTTTTTTTTAATTAGCGATCATAATAAATTGTTTGCTGCTTGATAAAGATTTAATTATTTTCTTAATTTTTTGAATTTAAATTGCGATATCATATTGAAGGCATATTTTTACAATTTTTTTTAAAAAATTAATTTTAACTAACATGTAGATCGAATTTGAAAATACATTTTAATATCTAATCAAATGAAAAAACTAAAAACTTATTATTTTATTTAATATATAAATGTTATGTCACGCTAAAAAATATAATTTATTATTATATCATATTAATATTTTTTATTTATTCTTTTTTAAAATTATATTTAGGCAATCTCTTTAATTACATATATTTAAAAAATATAGTTCATTTAAAATTTTAACTACATAAACATTTTGAAACAAATATAAATAAAGAGATTAACAAATATTTTCAGACATATATATAACTAAAAAAATAGATATTATTTTTTACCACCTTTCATATAAATTTGGATTTGGTTTCTTAGAAAAGAAAAAGACCTCAACTTTACTATAACATCGTCACCACCTTTCAAATAAATTAAGTATTTGGTTTCCAAATAAAGGAAAAATTTACAATGAGCCAAAAGAAAAAAAAAGAAGTATTTTTTAGCAGGAAAAAATCATATCCATAAATAAATCTCAATCTTTACTAGCATTAGAGCATTCAAACTAAATCTTTGCTGTAAATTCATCCCCTCTCTGCACACAGATTCCGACACTTACTCCCATTCTCTTGGAGTTTCTACTAATTTTGTCAATTCTTGCATCAACTAAAATTAAACACTTTAAAAAAACAATAGCGGTAATAAAAAGAGCTCACATAGCTACCATATACAGTCATCCACACACTAATTTCTCCTCTGTCATCATTGCTCTAGTCTACGCGTAAACTCCAAAAACACATTCTCCTCAAGCAACCTCCAGATCAATTGACACGTTTATGACCAAAACAACGACCGCCGTCATTTTAAAGAATCCCTGGACCCCACAAATTTATCCACTAACTCCTATCACGTGCATATTAAATCCACGCTAAAATTCCAAACCACCCTTGCATCTCAAGCGCCTCACACCCGGTAACCGGAGCCCAATCCCGTAATTTCACCATCCCAGCACTTGCCACACATCTTCTCTCACGTGCTGGCCGTCAAAACACCGTTAAAAGTCTCTAGGGTTTTCTACTTAAAATCATTTCTCCGATATTTCCTGCGTCTAATCTTGAGAAAGAAAAAAAAAAAAAAAAGGAAAAAAGGAAATAAAAGGAAGAAAACAAATCATTTTCTTTTACTTTCTTTTTTAATTTTCACGGAAGATTTGTTATTGATGAATTCTGGGAAATTGAAGGGACAACGTGAAACGACGTCGAGTTCGTCGTCTTCGCGGGGTAAAAGGGCAGCAGTGAAGCTAGAGATCGTAGAGGATCCATCAGAGGAAGAATATGGAGCTCTTCACAAGCGATCCAAGGCTTCACAATCTATTCAACCGGTAATTTTTACTTTTTTTCTTGACATATTATAGTTTTTTCTTTTTGGTTCCTGAGAAAATCAAGAAAACAAGGGAAAACGGACTCATCACTTTTTTCTTTTTCGAAAAAAAAAATTGGGGTCAACGTAGGAAGGTTGAAACTTTGAATTTTTAATTCATGGGTTTTGAGATTTTGGGAAGTTATGGGTTTTTTTTTTAATTTAGTTTTTGGGTGTTAATTAGGGTGTTAGTGTTATTTTACATGTTTTTATTTTTATTGAGATCGCGATTTTTTTTTTTTTTTTAATTGGGTTTGTTGGTAATTTGATCAGTGGGGTGCTGGTGCTAATGCAATTCCTGTTCCTGTTCCGTCTGGGCAATATAATCCATTAGATGAGCCGAGTCCGCTTGGATTGCAGTTGAGGAAGAGTCCATCATTGTTGGATTTGATTCAAATGAGGCTCACTCAAGGGAATGCTTCCGCACTTGTAACAGAAGAGACGGAGAATCAGAACTTGGGTGTCAAGAAGGAGACTAAGAGTACAGCTGCTTCCAGCTCCATTGACAAGCTTAAGGCTTCAAATTTTCCTGCTTCTATTCTAAGGATTGGGAGCTGGGAGGTAATGAATGATTTTGGATTTTTGGTATTTGTTGTTTTGTGGTGGTGAATCTAGGATATAGTTTGATGAGTTTTTTTTTTTTTGGCAGTATAAGTCTAGGTATGAAGGCGATTTGGTGGCGAAGTGTTACTTTGCGAAGCATAAGCTGGTTTGGGAAGTTCTTGAAGGCGGTCTTAAGAGTAAGATTGAAGTCCAATGGTCTGATATTATGGCTCTGAAGGCAAACTGTCCTGATAATGGACCTGGGACATTGAATGTTGTGGTAATGTATTTACTTTCACTGTCTTTTTTTTAAGCTATCAATGGGTGTTTATATGACTACGACTGTGCTAATTTGGGCTTTTTTTTTTTTTTTTTTTTTTTTTTTGGTTGTATGATGCAGCTGGCCAGGCAGCCACTTTTCTTCAGGGAGACTAATCCTCAGCCCCGAAAGCATACATTGTGGCAGGCGACTGCAGATTTTACTGATGGACAGGCTAGCATACACAGGTAAGATAGTTGCACTATATTACTATATTTTTCAGTCTTCTTCTTGTATGTAATATTTGGTTTTCCACTTTTCAACTGGTAGGTGTTCTCTGCATGGAACTGTTATGGATTTTCTTTGTTGTATTTTTATCAGACTTGTTTACGTATCTTGGAATGGCCAATCTTCTGCCTAGCACATTTAGAAAGTGATTCTTCGTACATTGATTTGGCAGGAGATACTGTTACTAGTCCATTCTCTTTCTTTATGTCATATTTCATTTTTATATTTATTCATACAAAAAAAGTGTGGTTAACATGTCATATACAGAGCAAAAACCTTCTGAATACATCGCTCGTAAATAATGTAATCATGGAGGGGACACTTATTTTGAGATTTTACTAAGATCCTGCTATTTTTTAGCCCCAAGGCAATGATAGTCATATTTTTATTGATGTGGTTTTGTAGGCAACATTTTCTGCAATGTCCACAAGGGCTGTTAACTAAACATTTTGAAAAGCTCATCCAGTGTGACATGCGTTTGAACTTCTTAAGTCGACAGCCAGAGATGATTCTGGATTCACCATATTTTGAACAGCGACCATCTGTTTTTGAGGATCTGGATGATTCAAAAAGTCAAGATTTTAATCAACTGGAGTCTGCTAAGTTGTCTGTTATTTCTGGCTTCCAAGATCTAGCATCACCATCTGCAGCTCAGTCATCTTCCTTAGAGATTGAGAAAGGGGATCCTACTGCTTCGACATCAGACCATGTGTCCCGAGAAGCTCCTTCTCCCAGCTCAGGTATGAAGTCTTGAATTTGCTTCCAACATGTTTCAAAAATGACGTCAATTATGGTAGTTTTTCAAACATAGTGTTTTTTTTTTAAAAAAAAAAAAATTGTCTGGCCATATTCCAGTGCTAGTGTTGCCAAAGTAGCATCCTGCAATTAATTTGCATATAAGATTCAGAGGTTTGGAGTTTTTGCATGATCTCCTATTAAGAGTCAAGAATCTCAGTGCTTGATGTTTTGTCTCTAGTTATTACAATACGTCCAGCACATCACTTCTGATCCCTATGTTTATTGTTGTTATTGTCAATGTTTTTCTTGCTATTGCATCTAGGACCCAAGCACTATTCTTTTTCCTGTAGTCTGAGTGATGTTCACAGCCTTGTGAATGTTTTAGGATCTGTTTCTATAGCTGATGACTACTATGAGTGCATATCTACCTCCCACTCTAAATTATCACTGATTGATCTTCTTGTACCTGTGCAATTGAAGGGAGTGGAGTTTGTGAAGCTGTTGATTCTAAAGCACAAATGAACTGGGATCAGATTAAAGTGCCAGGCTTGCGCCCTTCTATGTCAATGACTGATCTTATGAACCACATTGGAAACTGTATTTCAGAACAGATGACGTCAGGAAATCCATCCTTTTCTGGCGATGGATCAGAATGCCAGGACATACTAGAGGACATTGCAGAGTACCTTCTTAGCGACACCCAGCAAACATCATCCTCTGATGAGAAAAGGATCATGGCAAGGGTGAATTCTCTCTGTTGCCTTTTGCAGAAGGACCCTGCGTCAACCCAAAACTTGCAGGTTAATGGGGAAATTTTATTTGAAGAGCCTAACAATGGGAAGGGGGTTCTGAGAAACCATATCAATGAATCGTTGCATGAGGATAAATTTAGAGGTGATAATAGAGGCTCTGAAGGCAGCAGTATCGAGGATGTTTCTGGCAGCAAGCAGGCACCAGGAATGTCGAGGAAAGACTCATTTGGGGACCTGTTACTTCATCTCCCTCGAATTGCATCTCTTCCAAAGTTCTTATTCAATATTTCTGAAGAAGATGGTGACAGTCAAGATAGATAGTTAATTATATTGTTTAATAATCAGAAGGTGGTAAAAAATCAAGCTATAGTCAATCTCTCTCTCTCTCTCTCTCAACTTGTGAATGAAGATTTGTTTGTTGTTTACTATTATCTAATGTATCGAAGCAGATGTTTCCATTAATTTGAACCTTGGGAAAGCACCAGGATTCCGAAATTTTGGTTTGATGAAGGATCCTGATCAAGATCAATGCAAATTGCTACATGTACAAATCTTACTTAGTTGTAGCTGCCTTGTCCGTCGTGCAATTTCCCATGAATTACTTAGTAATTTTTATTTGTAAGCAATAATGTTGATATATTCATTCTTTTTTCCCCCTCCATCCTAATTCCAAGAGCTGATTCGATCCCAATTTATGGTGTTGTGTGTTCATGAAACTAAAAAACCCAAGGCTAGTGTTTTTGGCAAATAAAATTTGACAGTTCTGTGAATGGCTGTTACTTTAACCAGGTTTAATGCTATCAAATCGCGCTTTACACACTATGCTCCTGGGTCTGGTGGCTTGGTGTTATATTTGCCACCACTCAACCAAGGCTCAAGCCTAACAGCAAACAGCTTTCTCCTCAACGGACAAGTTCCGCTCTCACACTCAGATACTCGATATAATATTTTTGTTTTTAATAGTGAAGAATTCTACTGAAGAAACCGATTGTTGTACAGGAAAACAGAGGGTGTTAAGAAACAAGCAAAAAAATCAACAATTATTCAGAACCGAGCTCTCTAATTCCTTTTGTGTGTTCGCTGTGTAAACAGAAGCCTGTTGCTGGATGCAGTGAAGCATAAAGTCCCAACCAATGTATGGACAGCTGTGTTGCACATTTACCTTTAATTTCCTTCCAACGGCCATTTAACAATACATACAGGAGGCTCATTGTAAGCTGGCACATATAAAGCATGCAGGATCTTTCAACAGTTCTTCAGGCATTGCTTGCTCGAAGCACAGGGTATGGAATGCATGACCACACGGAAGAACAGCAACATCTGGAAGTTTATCAGACTCCAGCCCCTCATCAGTTGGTAATGGCCAATGCGCAAGATCATTCTCGCACAAAAAACAGCCAAGTCCAAGTTTAACAAAACCTGCATTGTTAAGACGATATCCTTTAGTGAGATGCTTGTTCCAAGTAATTAGAAAACCATATTTATTGAAAGAAAATGTCGAGATGTTATCAATAAAAAAAAAAAAAAAAAAAAAGCAAAATCTTCTATTTGGAAAATGGTCTGCATTAAAAAATCCAAGAAGAATCCCAATTCAGGACAAGAAAAGAAAAAACTAAAAGAGATCTTTCAGACACGTACCGTCCCACATTATATAATATTCTGGAGAGAAACTTCTTGATTGCTGGTGCTGGCGGCGCCTTCGGTGTTTGGTGTGGGATGTAGAAGATGTCTTTTTCTTCTCCTGACGAACCTTTGAAGATGTTTTACCTGAATCTTGTGAAGATGCTGTCTTTATCTTTACCTGCCATACTTGCTTGGGAGTTGCAGATAATTGGTTTGTCCTCTTCTTAACGGCTTCTGGTTGATTTTTACTATTCTCAACAGCTTCTGCAGAACCTTCTCTTTTCCGATTGGGACCTCTATGAACTTGGTCCGATGACATCCTTTTTGTAGACAAATTAGATTCAAGTTTTGAACGTTCTGTCTTTCCCTTTTTCTTTTCTTGCTTGGAAGCAGGACGTATTTGGTCTCCACTCTTCTTAACAACTTGTGTTTGGTTTCCGCTCTTCTTAACAGCTTCTGCAGAACATTTGCTCTTCTGAACAGGCTGACACCAACGAGCTTGAACAGATGAACTTACTTTAGCAGGAAAATTAGATGGACCTTTAGAAGGTTCTTTCATTTCCTTTTCCTGCTTGGGAGTTGAAGGTATTTGGGTTCCACTCATCTTAACAGCTTGTGCTCGGTGTCTGCTCTTCTTAACAGCTTCTGTAAAACATATGCTGTTCTGACCAGGCTGACCTCTATGAACTTGGTCGGATGAACTTATGTTTGACGTCAACTTAGATGGATCCTTTGAAATTTTATTTTCCTTTACGTGCCAAGCCATTGAAGATGCTTTAGATGAAGATTTTGGAGGTTCTGTCTTAGCCTTTACCCCCAAAACCTGTCCTGATGCTGAAGGTAATTTGTCTCCACTTCTTTTGACAGGTCGAATTGGATTTCCATTGTTATTAACAGATTTTGTAGAGGATTTGTTCTTCTGGGTTAGAATATAAGGTTGAGCATGACCTAACTTACCTGCAAAATCTGCAAATCAAAAGTGCTCATTTAGAAACAAAAAATGCCATAGATAGATTTTTATATCACTAGAAAGCTCCAACCTCCTATATTCACAAGAAATGTTAAAGACATGATAGCACAAGATTAGATTTCTGGAAAAAGAACTATCATTTTCTTGTTAGTTAAAGTCAGAATCTCCAGAAATATAAGGTAACCAACGCTGGTGACTAGCTATGCAAGATTACTATACACTTGAGGGCCGAACTGTACAATACCTGATCGAACTTTTAGGCTGTTGCTTCTTTTAGCCTTAGCAGCAACAGAATTGGAGGTTGATTCAGTTTGGGAGGTCCCAGCTGCCTCGCTATTTTCATTCTGAAGTAGATGTTCATCCGGGGTTCCTGCTTCAGTTGCATTTTCTGAGCTTATCCTATACAATTTGCCCAGAATTTCATCCGGAAAAGAAGAGCCTCTACGATGAGATAGTTTCAAAGCAGTTCCACAGTTTTGAGCACAATTTTGTGAATCTCTAGCTTCTCTAACACCATTTACTCCTAACAATAACACAGTTGGCACACAATCACAATTCAAGTTGGCTGTACAAGTCCTGACATTATGAGTAATATCCATTGTTGTAAAAAGAATCCTGCATTCAGATTCATAAATTCAACATCATTCAAACACTCTGCTTTCCAAAACTAAAACATAACCTAGCATGCGTAGGAAATTATGATCAGTAAATGACAGCAATGAAATATCAATCTCTACCGAGATCCAAATCTGATACATCATGTTACTAATGCTATAACGAACAGGAAGGTGAAAATATTGTCTGACAGGCTATTAAAAATCATATAAGGAGCTAACAGCTTATCACTTACAATAGGTTTTTCCTAAAATTCTGCACAAATTTGGAGTCTTGAAACACAAAAGACTACCTAGAAATTCTGCTAAACAGCAGCATTATCATCCTAAAATATTGCACCACAACCTCTCTTCTGATTCTTGAAAAAAAGAACCCAATTTCTTTAAATTAAAAAACAGATGCAAATCCGAAAACGACCCGTAAAAGATAAGGAAAAAAAGAAGGGTTTCACAAAGAAAGAAAAATACCAGGTCCAAAAATCCTGAGGGATAGCTAGTTTTGCCGATGGAAAGAATCTTGCCAAGTAAATTTCTTGAAACAGAATAAAAGGGTGTTCTTTTCTGTTATCAAAAGGAGCAGACAGGCAATGTTTATTAGGTTTGTAAATTTGTGATCTTTGAACGGACCTTAATTCGGAGAAGAGACTATCGGGCATGTGAAGAAGGGGTCTGCAATACTTCTCTGTATATATAGGATTTGGTGTTGCGGTCCACAATTTGGCCGACTTTAGATTTGTGGCCGACTTTTTTCTTCTCTTACGTGTCCATCCAGCTCTCGTCGGATTACATCTATCGTATTCTTTGTAATTTGGATCTGAGCCGGGATGCAACAGGCCCAATATACATATTAGGTTTAGTTTCTTGGGCTCATAGGTAGTCCGGCCCATTCTTTAAATTTTAGTTTACTATTTATTTTTAATTATACATATTATTAATGAAATATTAAGCTGACGATTATTATCGTTTAATGATTTTCATGGATTATTATTAAAGTAAAATATACTGTTTCACTTTATTGTTATGAAATTTTTCAATGGTGAGAATAATTATTTAAAATATATTAAAGAAATATATTTGAGTTTTGATATACATTTTTCATATTCAAAGTATTCTTTTTATTAACTTTGGATACGTATCTTACAATTATTTGATATTTTATGTATAAGTGGTCTCTTACAATAAAAGATCACGAATTTAAATTCTAAGAAATTAATCTGTTAGAAGCTTTGAATGCGTGAATTATATATATATATATATTCGGTATTATACTCATCAAGATACCCCTCTTTCCTTCTTACATTTTCCATCAATATTTTGAAAAAAAAAATCATATCTTTTTCGTTTTCTCATGAAATATTTAGCTCTCCATTGAAACTCATTACCATGAAAACATGATTAAAACAAAACAAACAACAAAGACGAGTCATAAAAAGTCCAGTATTATTAATTACTAACTTGAGGCTACACGGGAAGATGATGATCCGGTGGGGGTGGGGTACCTTGTACCGTTGTAGTGGGTGAAGGAGCAATCTTATTTTTGGTAAAGAGTAGTGCCATTACATCTTGTGCACAATCTCTGCTTGAAAGGAAGATTGCTAAAAATATTCCAGCAGCACAATAAAGAAGACAGAAGGCTGCAACAATGAGGAAAAAAATGTTGAAACATGCTACTACTTTGGATTGGCCCGGGGAAGAACTTGCTGTCTTTGCAATGAGTTTGAGAATTACGTAAGCTCCACTGGCCACAAATGAAAGTGCCACAATGGGCAAACAAAATCCACACATCAATCGAGTCCCAAACTTCGACGCAGACATATTATTGTTTCCTATTGATCAATTGCATGCCTGCATATTTTTACCTGAATTAAAGATAGAAGAGGACATATATTTCTCCAGAAACATCAAATTAAAGATAGAAGAGGAAAATAAATTTACCTGATAATTGGCATACCGAAACAAGGCAGGATTTTTCTTCTATTTTTTGGCCCCGAGAAGTTTATGAAGAAGCAGCAGCAGCATAAGATATCATCAAAGATGGCATACGTTAGAATGCTTTAAAGAGTGATCCTGAGCGATATTTTTCAGGAATAATTTACTATTTTATGAACCTGACAAATCTTCCGTTACCGTCTATGGATGACAGAATCTTGAAGGTAAAACGAAATGGTACAAGGCTAAAATGCATAGAAATTTCCTTTTCTTTTTTTTTTTCCCCCAACGATTGAACCATAGTAGACAAAATATTTCATTGTCATAGACGAAGAGCACTAGAGCTTATGTAGTAGAATTTTATATTTTAGAAAATGAGTGTACATATATGTTAACAATAAAACAAACGCGAACACTAACACTGTACCTTTCATATTTATACAATCGCAATTATATCGCAGTCGAAGTCTAGATACTTTTATAAATGAAATTAATCACACATAAAATCAATGATACGACTATATAAATAGAACCTGAAATATCATATCGAATGAGTCTTGTACTTATCATTTAAACTAATCCCTTGGAGGCTGCTCATAATTTGAAAAACAAGATTAAAGGTGCATGTTCATAGTTCCATTTGCCACCAACATATGTAGTATGTTCACGTTATTAATTTTTTGCGAAACAACTTGCTGTTCTTGCAGAAGACAACTTGTTGGTTTTGTAAAATAGAAGTTTCATTAGGGAGAACAACGACATGTAGTTTACGTTGTACAAAGATATTCATTCTAGGTGAGGAGGTTGTAGGCTACTGTGTGTTCAATTAAATGCATAGAAGACAATGAAGATTTGAAATCCTTGGTATTTAAGATTCTTATATAGGTGAAGGTTTGATCAAGTTGCATGGAGAAAAAAGATAGGATGCTTGATTATTTCTCTTGCCGACAATAGTTTCTAACATCAATTTGGAAGGCGTATGTCTTGATTGTTAATAGTTTGTAATTTGACAACTTTTTGTGATTATAAGGTTGTTGTTGATGGGATAGAGGGAGCTCTAGAAGCGAGCTTTCATTTAACAAAAATGTTATTGGTCTCCTTGGTTGGTGGGAACATCCATCCTTTGACTATAGATAACTAAAAGAAGCTTTGCGTATTTTGTTTGGGCTTCACTTGGATAAAGGAGGACTCCTTGCTTGTACACCAAATGACACCTCATTTATATGGGTCTTGTTTTTTCTCTCGTTACATCTACTCGGGTCTATTGTTTTCTTGGATATCTTAGTTGTTCTTTGAAATTTTGGCAATTGTAATGGCAAAGACTTTTTTCCTTCAAGGTGGATAGGGTTTTTCTCAATAATTATGCTTAATGAGGTTTGTTTTGACCAATCTCAAGGTAAAGGTTATGAAGAGTTTTATGTCTTATCTCTCGGAATGGTTAAGAGTTCCATCATCTATTAATTACTGGTGATGGGATAGAGGGATATAGGTGAAGGTTTGATCAAGTTGCATGGAGAAAAAGAATGATGCATGATTAGTTCTTTTGTCGACAATAGTTTCTAACATCAATTTGGAAGATGTGTGTCTTTGATGTTGATGGTTTATTAATTTGATGACTTTTGTGATTATAAGGTTGTTGTTGATGGAATAGAGGAAGCTCTAGAAGCAGGCTTTCATTTAATGAAAGTGTTTTTGGTCTCCTTGGTTGGTGGGAACGCTCATCCTTTAACTATAGATAACTAAAAGGAGCTTTACATAGTTTGTCTAGGCGTCACCCGGATAGAGGAGGACTCTTTGCTTGTACACCAAATGACACATCATTTATGTGGGTCTTGTTTTTTCTCTTGTTAGATGTACTCGTGTCTATCGTTTTCTTGGATATATTAGTTGTTCTTTGAAATCTTAGCAATTGTAATGGCAAAGACTTTTTTCACTTAAGTGTATAAGGTTTTTCTCAACAATTATGTTTATGGAGGTTTGTTTTGACCAATCTTGAGGGAAGGGTTCGAAGGGTTTTGTGTCTTATCTCCGGGATGGTTAACGGTTTCATTATCTATTAATTACTAATAAAATCATTATTAGCTATGACTTTGGAGATTGTCTAGAACTAAGGGAGCCAAAAAGTTGGTACATGGAATTTTAAAAGACTCGCTAGTTTCTCATCATATCAAAATTTGCTCTTAATCTTGCCATATTGTCCATAGTGACAAACATATGTTAGGACATGATAGGACATCTTTAGTATGACGAGTGATAAAGGACATTTTTGCTAATGTGCTAGTGAGGGTCAAGAGAAAGAGAGAAAGGTGTAAGGAGGTTTATATAAGTTGGATCCTACATATTTTGTCTATTTTTTTTTTTTTTGTTGTTTTTGCATTCTTGCTCTTTTTTTCCTCTAGTTCTTCCAAAAACATATCCTTTGGCTAAGATTTTAAATTTTTTCTAATAATTTAGAGAGTCATAGTTACCTCTTTTATGGGGATTTACAATCTTTTAGTGTTTTTCGTCATTGTTATGAAGTAGCGAGGTTGCTTTTGTAATATGTTGACTTTTTTTTATATATAAGTAGAGAAAATTTAGCCAATTTAATCTTTTTGTCCACCTATTTATATTTTGGTTGGAAGAAAACTTGAAAAGGTTAGATAGGGTTAGATTTATCTCTAAGATTGCCCTTAATGGTATATCCGGGCCTCTAAGAGATATGGGTGATAAGTATTCCTTCCGTGGCGGTTACATTGCCCTTAAATACATTCGATGATGCCTTCGTAACGAGGTAAGGAATTTTAAATTAAAAATATATAATGATTAGTTAGACTATAAATATGAAGTGAGGGCTCATCATATTGATGATATGATTAGTTACTAGCCTTGTAAGGTTAGAGAGGGGCACTTTGATATTCGTACCTCTCGTGTGTATGCTCATACTCGAGAATGTTTACCTATTGACTAGATTTACGAGAGAGGTGTTTAGAAATTACAATTTGTGTGCCGATTTACTCCATCCGAATGGATGGACCATGGTGACAGACCTTTGGTAAGTTGTGCTTATATTCATAACATTGTTCCCATTTGAAAGCTCTTTAGTGTTTGTTTTATCATGTTTAGGAGTGCTAAAGGTAAACACAAAGACCGATGGTTTTATACTTTTATTGGGCAAAAGGGTAATCCTCTAAAAAAGTTATTCGGACTCATCAAAAAAGAGAATTGTATGAAAAAAATGGTGAGAAGAGTGGTTTACGAGTACATTATACTAGTAAATTGCCACATAAAAGGCTTGCATAGGAATAAAGATGCCTTTTTTTTTTTCTCGGATGGCATCCGAGTGGTAATTACATCAATTCCCTTACTTTAGCAGGAGAGAAGTAGGGTGTTATTTAGATTTTTTCAGGAAAAAAAGGCATAAAAGATCAATTTATTGATAAAAGGATAGATTTCAAGCCTTTAGCTCCTAAGGTAGTTGAATTTGCCTTTAATTTTGCTTCTTTTGATAGCGTTTGTTTATCCCGATCTAAATAATACCATGCATACATGTGCTAGTAGATGAGCTAGTCCTTCTATTGCTCAAGCTAGAAGTGAAAATAGGAAGAAAAAAAAATTTTAGCTACACTAGGTGAGGATTTCTCTTTTTTCTTCTAAGAGTTTTCTTGATAGTATGGGTTCATCCTTTTCCTCCGAAATTGAAACCGAAGATAAAAGTTGGCCAAGTAGTTTAATACGGACTCTTCATTCTCAACTCCTAAGCTATCAATCTTGAAGGATATAAGACATGAATAAAAAAACAAGGCATTTAAAGAGTGTTGCTTCCAATGTAACACCCGTTAATCGAGACACCTCATCCGAAGGGTCATGATTGAACGGGTTGTTACTAAACTTATATCCTCTCTATTTTTCTTAAAATTAAGTTTCAAATTTAATCTTATTTAAATATGTCAATTTAAAAATATAATTAATAATATATAGTCATAAGATTTTTTTATTAACATAGCGTAAACGTTATTCTAAAATTTCATATTTATAAAACATCTATCACCATAATTAACATTTCTAAATAATCTTGTCTCAACATTCATACCTAAATTCTAAGTAAAAATTTCCAACATTCATAAGTTTAACGTCATTACACTTATTAGTTTAAAAATAAGTATTCATTTAAAGTATAACATAATCGTTAGGGACACGCAAAGGCAAGCACATGAGTCATTGATCACTTGAAACACCATCAATATCCTCAACATTTGCATCATTACCTACAGCATAGAACAAATGTGAGATACGAATATTCCAATAAGGGTAACATGCATGATTTTAGATTAAAACCTTTTGTACATTAATGTTTTTAAAATTCTTTTCCTCATTTGGGCCCGCTAGAAGATACTAACACCGGTTAGCAGGGTCTAGCCTCAATAAAAACATGCATAAAAACATTAGCCTCATCATTTAACAATCAAACCTCAACATTTATGCCTTGATGGCAACCTCAACCTTTAAACCTCAATATGCATTAAAAAAATAGCCTCATTCATTTACTTAAAGCATTTTTTTTCAATCAACGTGTAAAATATATGAATGTATATGAATGCACCTCAAGACCATCATGTCACATCAATCACATAAAAACACATAGCATTTACGCCTATGGCGTAGGTAAGTTACACTTACTTGATTCGCTTAAGACCGCTATTTATCGTAACTTTTCTCTAAAATCGATACTTTGACTTGATTCAAACCTTGAACATACACACCATATAATATAAAAAATTGAATGTCATTATTTTATCTCTAATCGTTTATTTTTTATTAATTCTTATTCTTTTCTTGTAATTTTTTTAATTTAAAATCCTAATTAAATCATCAACTCTATCTAATTTATTCAATTCTCCTTCAAT